GGGGGAGGCTGCCAGCCTGCCGCGGGGCTTGTGCCCGCCGCCCAGAGCAGAAGGGCCGTGAGCACGCAGGGGCCCTGCCCGGACAGGCCCCGGCGGGAGGGAGCGTTCCCGCTGGGAGCGCCGGAGCCCGTGAGCCCCGGGCAGGGCAGGGAGCTGCTGGCACCCGCGAGGCGGCCTCGGCCGAGCACGGGAGGGGCAGCGGGGCAGCACATGGGTCCCGGGGGCTGGGCTGCCCTGTGGTGCCGCCCCCGCCAGGCCGCCCTCTCCTGACCTGATGATGTTGGCCGCAGCCTTCCGCTCCTGGGTCAGCAGCTCCGGGTCCCGCATCACCTCCTCCAGGAAGCCGATGACCTTGCCCTGGAGCTCGGCGTTGGTCTCGAAGTCCTGTGGGAGGGGCTGGGTTCTGGCCGCCACGCCAGGTCCTCTGGGCTGCTGGAGGCCAGTGGCCAGAACCCCAGGAGGGGCTGGGCGGGACAGTCCCTCCTTCCCTGCACCCGAGGCCAGGATGTGGGGCTGCAGGTGCTCGGTGCAGGGTGGACAGTGGCCCTGACACCTGGGGTGGGAAGGCAGTGGGGCCCCGCCCCGAAGGCCCCGCCCCGCCACGAAGGCCCCGCCCCGCCCCCCGAAGGCCCCGCCCACCTGGGCGTGCTTGGACACCCAGTGCCGCAGCACGTTCAGGACTCGGTTGGTGGCGGCTCTGCGGATCACGAACTCCTTGTCTCCGTTCCTCTGGTCGGGAGGGAACCCTGGGGGGCGAAGGGGTGAGGGCAGAAGCAGGGGCGCTCCTGACGGACCTGCCCAGGCCCCAGTGGTGCTGCTGGCCAGGAGGCTGCTGGCTGATGTCCAGCTACCCACCGCTCTCAGGATGGCCCCGGGCACGCCGGCTGGACCTCGCACCTGCCAGGGGCTGCTGGAGGCTCTGGCAGACTGTCTAGCCATGGCGGGGGCCTTCCCGTCCCCTCAGGCTGCAGACCCGGGCTGTGGATGGGGCTTCACTGGGAACAGCAGAGGGGCAGCACTAGCCACGGCCTGGGCAGTGGGCGCTGAGCCCCGGCCAGGAGACACGGTACCTGCACTGGCCAAGGACATCCGCCGGTACTTCTCCTTGTTGGGGGTGCTCTCGTTGGCACCCGCGGTCGCGATGGCAAAGGCCGAGGCTGCCGACAGAGCGCTGCGGCCGCTGTCCAGCTCGCGGCAGGACGTCATGACGACTCCGTTGTTGTATGAGAAAAGCAGGAACTCTGCAGGGTCAGGGCAGCCTCAGCCTCAGCCCTGCTCGGCCAGCCCAGGCTGCCCCGGGCCACGGGCGGGCTGGACCTGTGGCCCCAAGGCCCCTGCAGGGCCGTCCACCCCACGCCACGGGCCAGAGAGCCTGGAGCCCCTCTCTTGCAGCAGGGTCTGCCCCCCCAGCCCCTCCACCAGCCCCCCTGCTCTTGGGCTGTGAGTGCCCTGGCCTGCACCCGGCCAGGCTGGCAGAGAAACAGACTCTGGGGACTCTGGGCCAGCACCGCGAGCCGCTGAGTTCTGCCCGGTACAGTAGAGCTGCGGCCACATGGAGTGGGCAGGGAGGGGAGGGCCAGGGCGGCCCCAGGGACCCTAGGTGCTGCCGTCCCGAGGGCGCCGCATGGGCGGCCAGAGGCAGGCTGGGCTGCGGGAGGTGGCCAGATCCTGGGCAGGGGTGGGCGGCTGGCGCCCCGCAGCTGGGAGTCTGGGGTGCAGGGTGACCGGGCGGGGCCGTGGGGGGTGGGCAGGGGCAGGCAGCCATGCTGACGGCTCAGACCGGCTGGCGGGCCGCGGTCACCACGAGCAGGGCCCCTGCCGGCCGCCATACCTGGGCTCTTGCCCTTCAGCGATCTGGGCGACGTGGGGGACCTGGTGGGCGAGGCCTCAGCCTCCGCCTCGTCGCTCTGGGGCTGCTCCGCGTCTGACTCCTCCCGCACCGAGACCTCCGAGCCTGCGGGGTGCGCGCCTCTCAGGACGCCGGCGGGGCCCCTGCACCGGCGCCCCAGAGCCGGCCCCGGCCCCGCCCCAGGCCCTGGCGTGCTGGCGAGGAGCCAGGGCCCTTCCGCCCTGCTGAGGGCAGCCCGGTCCTCTGGGCCTCCCGCCAGCGTTTACCAAGTGTCCACCCCTCGGTCTGGCCCTGCCCGAGCAAACCGCGAGCCCACCCCAGGGCAGCGGCAGAAAAGCGAGGGGGCGGCCCGCAGCACGCACCCCAGGGCTGGGGCCTCGCAACCGGGGCCCGGGAAGCCGCCATCTGGGCCGCCCCGGCCCCCGACTGCACGTCTGACCGGCCCTCAGGCCTCCTGCTGGGCGGTCAGCGTCTCACCCTGCCGCTGTGCGGCCCGGCAGGACCCCAGCGGTCCCGCACAACCGGACGGGGCCACCGGCGAGGCAGGGCGGGGCCACGGGCGGGGAGGGG